CCCCTTCCGACGTCCAGTTGTTCTTGATCCTTGTGCGTTGCCCTGGCTGAAGCTCACAGAAATTGAACCCGTGAATTGAAGGGCATTTTGGTTTTTTTCTACACGTGGGGCACAGCGAGTGTGACGAGGGTGTCGACAGAACATTCAATTCTTACCCCCTTCAACCACATTTTCATCTTTGAAAAAATTTAATCATCATTTACGACCCCTCTTTCACCCCTATTTCGCATCTGCTATCACTGAACCTGTCTTTGAGATGCCCATACCCTTGTACCGCGAAATCTCGAAATCGATGACAATCGAAAGAAGTCAGAAGCCTAAGAAGTCGGAAAGTGATCTTCATGGACGAGATGTCTGACTGTTCGAGTAAGTATTTTTTATTGTTTTACAGTAGTAACAACATTAGCATTTCAATGGATCTGGTGAATTACGCCAGTCCATTGTACAGAAACCACAACTTTGTCGGCATACTCGAAAAGCAAGTCGGAAATGTTCTGAGTTACAGGACCATCTGAAATTATCAGTTTTCATGCGGCGAATATTGAGAAAGGGATGTTGATCGTTGCACTTTGGAATTCATCTTTGACTGAGAAAATTCTGTTAAGGAGTGAGACACCGACATCCCCCGTAGACTAATTGTATCCCAAGTTTAGATAAGCTCGAAAACTAGCAGTTACGTTTTGAGCCAGGGACAGTTGAGGAATTTCGAAAGTCGTTGGAAGTTTGTCTTTCATAGGCTACCAGGTACCTGGTACCTAGCGAACCAGCTTTTTGAAGTTACTAGGCTGGATTTCATAGATACATCCTGGGCGAAATCTGAGAAACAATTTTTTCCCATGGGGACTGTGCCTTTAAGCTACCCTGTTACCGTTTTGTACTCCAAGTGTCGACGTTTGAATTGAATCGGCTACAGTACGATTTGCTCATCCGATCGAAGCAAACTGATGTGTCATTAAGCTTGTTGAAGAAGCTGAAAGTAGTCTTGTTTTCATATGTCGGGAAATCTCCCATGGGTTGGTTTGAGAAGAAAATATCCGCACTCAGGAACTAGCGTGGGAGTTCGGAGTAGGGCTCTTCGCTCTAAATTTCGGACAAGTTCAATATGGCTTCACTTGATTGAGTTTTTTTCATGGGAAAAAATGAAATTTTCAAAACGTTAAGATCAAAATGAGTGAAAACATCGTGAATTTCCACAAGCTGAGGTTCAGAAGCAAAGAAAGCATCCTGCGGGTTGTTATTCCTTGCGTTTTTTTTTTTTGAAAATTTCTCTATCCACGGTAGATCGAGTTGCAGTGAGCTTTTTTACTTTCTACTCTGTAAAATATGGATGCGTACGACGGGATAAATTTGGAATACTCACGAATTTTTTGGGACGACTTTTTTTTAAAGACTAGAAAATACTTACTCAGCACCGCGTTCGCGATAATTTGCGGTAACGTCGTTGCATGTCTTACAGCATAAAACCAACGAAAAGTCTGGTTCCGTGTTACACCTGAAATTATCGGCTAATTGAGTTAAACAATTAGATTTTTTTGATAAGTTTTTCAGGGTCACCGCGGTGCAGAACAATATTTGCTTATAATACTTGCTTTTTGGAAATTTTCTAGAAAATTCGTCCCTCATTAGGTTTTTTTAGCTCTTGCCTGAACCGCCTGTAATAATTCAGGGGGAGTTTCTATTACGCCCATTCATCAGGTCCATTTTTGGACGTTTAGGTCGGAGAGAAGTGGACTGCACCAAGCCAGCTTGGTGTAACATCAAATTTGCTAAAAGAAATTTGAAAATGCAGCCAAATCACAAACTTTTTGGTAAATCCTTCCGGATCGTTGGCCCTCATCGTTTTGCACATTGTACTAGATTCATCTTGGCAACATGGCAACCTTTTTGAAGAATCCAGTACGGGTATGAAGTGAGGGCCACCACGAGCTGAAATACAATATATTTTGTTCAGTTTGTCAATTTCTAGAATAGAAACTTTGAAGATTTATAAATAGTTTTTCAGTTTATCTCCAAATCTTTCGCCTAGGAAAGTTAACCAGAAGCCATCTTAACCTTAATCTATCATTGATGGGAAAAACACTTTTAGGTACGGAAGGATGCCTAGAAATGGACTAATAAGGGCTTCAAGGCAGTCAGGAACGCCCTTACTGGTAGCCCCGCCTCCAGCTATAAAGGCCTGGCAAATTTTCCTCCAGCTGCGTCTTGTAGTGAATAACCCATCAGCGGTTCATTGTTGGCTCCTTGTTTCCTTGTTCGTAGCCGATGCCATTGCTTCTCTGTTCAGAGGCTGGAGCGCTGATGATGGAAGCTCTACTCTTGATGGTTGACTACCAAAGCGGTAGTCCCATTTTGATTTTTTGCGTTTTGTTTTGATTTCTATTCAACGATTAGACTATTTAGCCCCTTTTCATTCATGAACTCTACAGTACATTCAAACTGCTGTCGTGAAAGTGTGCCTTCATGTGCTTTCACTTACCATGAGTTTTATATCGTGAGAATGTTCGACTTCGCACCATTCCTGGATAGATGAGTGATACCCGATGACGATGTATTTGGGCCACTAAAAATAAAATTATGTAGACTGAGCTTTTTTGACCCTCCTGTGGAGTCGAACTCTTTGAAGTTCCTGAGTGAAACAGGCCAAATTATACGGGGGAGAGGCTGGGAACAGTGATACATTACCCTGATGTTTTAGGCTCAAAGATTTCACCTTTTTCGCTACCCTAGCAGAACCCTGTTCTTCCCTCAAACCTGCATGGGAACTGTACTCCGCACACTTGGCGGTCTTTTGATATTTTTGGCAATTGTTTCTTTGACGAACTCAAAGTGGGACTTCACACCCAGGGCTGTACGGTAGAACCGAAGAATACGATTTCCTCTTTCTCTTTTTCTTCAATGCAATCAAAGTGCCTACCGCTGAGTACTGTTAGATTGACCAAAAATGTCAATAGAAGCTTGAACATGCTTGGCTCCCGGTCCGATTCCTAAAACTGTATACTACAGGCAGTTGATCCTTGGGTAATATAAATACTTCACTATACATACAATCTCGTTGTCTCAACGGAGGTATTTGAATGTATTTATTAAATGTTCATTTTTCTTTTCAAGCAAAAGGAAGGAAGATTGTGTTGTATTTGAGTTCAATCTTTTTTATGACCCTTCCTACAGCAAGCTGCAACTTTTTTCAAAATCCTTTTCAAATTGTAATAGTCAAATGAACTAATAAAAATAGACATAGACATAGAAAAAAAACAGACAAGGGGGCTGGAATTTTCCCAATTTCATAAAACTCGAAAAATCAGAAATCAGAACTGGTTGTTGAGAAAGCTTTTAATTCGATTTGCTATTGCTTTTATTAAAACACGTTCGGTTGAAGTTCGGGGGGATCGACTGGAGTCAAACTTTTGAGATTCTATGCGATCCTAGAGTTTCAACCAAAACTCCATGAAACCTACCAGTGTATGGGGGGAATTGCGGTGTCTATTTTTCAATCTGGGTATTTTCCAACTTTTTTTTTCATGAATTCAAATTTAATAGTTGATTGAAAT